CAAGACAGGGTCTCTCGGTAGTTTTGGAACCTATCCTAGAACTAGCTTCTGTAGACCAGGCAGGCCTCGAACTCACAGAGATCTGCTTCCCGAGTGCTGGGATTAAATGTGTGTGCCACAAGTGCCCGGCTCGTATTTACTACTTTCTGATAGTTGTCTGTGAATCTCATTTTGTCCCACTAGTGACTATAAAAAAGCTAATTTCTCTGATTTTTCACAATCAACCATTTAGGCCTCATACAGGCTCATCCAGTAGAGGCTTTACACAGTAATTATATGCTTGCAATTACAGTGTTCTCTTATAACTCAAAACCAAGTAAATTAAGAGAGAATTTGTATTGCAAAAAGAGGGGGTTAATTAGATTAAAAAATAAAATTTGGCTTTAAAGGCACTTTTCAATGTGTTCTTTCAACACTAAATTTCTGTAAAGCATTTAATTATTTCATTACTTAACAGAAAAGCTTCATCTTTACCTTGGAAAGTTCAAATTTTACTACATAAGACTACTTCCTGGATAAACACAAATTATAAATACTATTAATAATAGCTAAAATTATTACATATAGATAAATTAAAATAAAAATCATTTGCAAAACTAGTAATATTTTGCAAGCCACCTTCCTCTTGGATATGAGCCTTGCATAAAGTCTGCCTGTAAAAGAGAAATAAAGGTTTCTAAAATGCATTTTTATTTTGTCGATACAAAAGCCAGTACTAGTTCAGAACGGAAATGTCTGGAATCCTGCTTCATGTCACAGAGCACAGAGGTTAAGATAATAAACTGCCTAAGGCCTCTTCCAGGGCAGCAAAAACAAACCAAAATTGTCTCTGGGGTTGTAAATCGAGGAACGATGCGGCAAAAGTGAGCATGCAGAAAGAAAACTGGGGTAAATGTTTTTTTAATGTTTGCCGTTGGGCAGGATTTTTTTCTGTTAGTTTACTGTTTCTAGCAAATATGAAGTGCTTTATCTCAGCTCCTTGGACTATTATTATTTTGGTTTAGCCTCCTACTGTGAGGGAAAAAGAAGACCTGGCAGCTATTTTTAAAAATGAAAAAATGATCGTCTAGTGATAGATACAAAGAGGAGCGTGGGCACTGGAAGGCAGAGAGGGTACAGAGAAAGGATGTGACACCTGTGCACCCCCTGCTCTTACCTTCCGGAGAGGGCAATGTGCTAATTCATGCATGGCGATAGACTTAGTCCATTATTCCAATTCATACATAGAAGTAAGTTTTAAGCGCCTCAAGGGCATCAGGCTATGGTATGTACTCCCAAAACTCGACCAAGGTTGGGATGGAGTTAATAGGACGCTGCTTCAAGGGACTATGATGGAGGATCATCTTCGTGCTACAGAAGAGAAGTGGAGGGTGGATAAATCTAAAATCTGCAGCAGACCGGGGGGATTGTTGTCACCATGACTCATTAGTGCTACCCCTTAATAAGCTAATATGCAGCAGACTAATAACGATTTAATAATACAGCCAAGGTTTAGAATTAGCTGATAAACAGGGCCATGACTTTTCATCACAATTGGTGAGGGAGATGTTAAACAGTGAATTGCGGTAGGAACTCAGCCCCAAACTATTCCATTTGCTGTGTTTACCTGTAAGTTCACACAGCCTCAAGCTTGAGTTGACTCCTTGTAAGCAGATGTCGCCAAATTTATGATTAATTATAGTAAAATAGTTATAATAGAATCATATTATATATACATGTTCTGAAGGGAAAGTGAGGGTTAGCTTTAGACCCACTAGAGTTTCTAATAAAAGGAAACTATTCATGAAAAGTGTCCATGACCGGCTGGTGAGGATGCATCCTCAGTTGACTTGACACGTTTGGGTAAATCATTCTGTGAAGCACAGCTGATGGGCTCAAGTCCTCGCTTCCTTAGGCAATGAACAAGTCACAGGATAACCTTTCTGGATAAGAAGTTTAATGTTTTGATGTATAAGCAACTTCGTCCTCCTGCCTTCCCTGTCCTAATTTACAGTCCTCTCTGACTGGTTTATAGGAGTCTTCAAAAAATTTGATTAGCCTGACTTGAAAAAAAAAAAACTTGCAGGACTTTCAGGGTAATGATGTGTCAGCTCTAAACTCCTTCAGTTATGCTGAGGGGAAAGATTTTGAGTAGGAAAGAGCCAGGTTCAGAGGTGCTGACTTGAGAAACAAGCTATAAAGTACATTTGCACCTGAAGGCTCTCAGATTCCAGCTTTTTTGATCATGCCAAAGGAAAGAATGTCATGATGGGCAAAAGAACAAGATTAAGCATCAGCATCAAAACAATAGCAGCTATTAAAACATGTGCTCACTTGAATTCTTCAGGACCAAAGTTCTTCTCTCTCATCAGGATCAGGAAAACGGTCCACATGATTTCAAACAGAAGAAGGAAATGGCGGCTTCCTTAGATGGGGCAGAAGGGAGGTAGGCAGAGGTGCCATGGGTGATTAAGAGCCACATGAGCTCAGTATGCCACAGGAAGGAGCAGCTATGGCTGGGCATGAAGCCTGCTGCTGATTAGTGAGCCATGCTTAAGAATGCTGGTTGAATGAGAATCCTCTCAGGTCATTAACTCATTCTGTTGCTCTTTTTGCCTCTACCTGCCACCGTCTGTCTTCTTATGTGCAAGGCTCTCAGGGGAGCACAGCGGTAGAGGAGTTTCTTCGTGTTCTCATTACCAGAGTTGGAGATCAAACTACCACAAATCCTAGCCATGAGTCAAGAATTACTTTGGAAGATTGAGAAGCCCAGGCTTCTGTTTTATGGTATCTGTGATCCCAAACCAGAAGATTAAGAGGCTTGGACTAGATTTATCTGGTGTTTGTTCATTTTATTAAAGGTTGATGGTGGATATCAGAGGAGACCTTTGTTGGGGATTGGTTGAAACTCTTGCATATCATCTCCTAATATGGTCTGGACTTCCTCATGGCATGGTGTTTGAGTTCTGGTGAACACTGAGCTGTGAGTCAGGTAAAAGCTGTGTCTTTTATGGCCCAGGCTTAGAAATAATGTAGCATAAATTCCACTGTACTTCATTAGTCAGCATGGTCACATGCCTTGCTGAAATTCAGTGGCTAGAAACATTAGCCCCTGATAGCAGAAGTAATGTCAGTTACAGTGCATAAAATATATGTACATCTATGTAAAAAATACATACGTGTCATCATCTTGCAAAAATATATTCTGAAAATTTTAAATCGAACAATTATTACATATTCTCTTTCCTATTACTATGATGAAGCACAATCGCCATTGTAAACTTATAAAAGAAAGCTTTTAATTTGGCTTGTGATTTCCGAAAGTTAGAGCCCATGATCACAGAGGAAAGGAACAACTGAGAATTCACATATGGATCCATAACCATAGTGGAGAGAGAGAGAGAGAGAGAGAGAGAGAGAGAGAGAGAGAAAGACTGCACTAGAAATGTAGAAATGGCTCAAGCTTACTGGTGTACTTCCTCCAATAAGGTACAATTATTTGGGATAAGAAGTATCCCAAAGAATTGTGCCAAGTATCCAAATACAGGAGCCTATGGGAGGGAGCCTTTGGCATTTAAACCACCACACATAATGAAGTAAACAGGGAAAGCATTATTTGTGAATCTTTTGTATGTGGTGGCATAAGGAATCATTCTATTAGAAGCATATTAATAAAAAGTGCTACTCGAGTATTTGCATACTCCCTCTCTCCCCATTTCTTGGTGAATATCTCACTGTCTGTCTGTCTGTACCATTTTCTCTTAATACAGTTTTTTTCTTAAACTTGGAACATGGCGGGGAAGGGTGGTAATTACAAATTGCAAACTAGAAAATGCACGTTGTGTCATAATTCCTTTGCCGTAAATAATGGTTAATAACAAGTAAACAAAGAATAATTGCAGGCTAGACCTACTGCTTTTTGTTGAATGTTCTAAAACTAAAGCAAGTCTTTCTCTGTAAAATAAAAATAAAATGTTCACAAGTATTTGGAAGATATAATTCACACGCCTGCCAATTTAAGACCTTCTCGTTGCCTTAATCTAACAGGTTGGAAGAGTAATGAAATAAGATAATACCTAGATATCTGTACCAATGAGGGTATTTTAAAGGATTCTTGATGCTTCAGCCCTATTCTTTTGGCAAAGACTGGTTCAGAAAGATAAAAATAAAACCATTGACCTAGAGCTTTCAGCTAGCCTAACCTAAATTTTTGGGATCCATGAGGGGAAAGGCAGAGCCAAGCCTTATTAGTAAATGTATTTACAACCCATCATTTATCAAAGGCTGTGCCTTTCACATCCTGATTTTTTTATTTTTAATTTTAATTTTTAAAAAATTTTTAATTTTTAAATTTTTTATTTTAATTTTTTATTACTTATGCTCAGTGAACAATAAGAGGCCTTGACCAGGTAGCTTCTATATAAAGCCTAAGGACTCCCATTATCTTCTTACGATTTCCTGCATGCGGACAGAATTGACTCCGTCTTTCCCGCTGTGCCATGACTAATGTTCCCCGGCTTCATGGGACCACCCTGAGTCCAGAGCCCCCAGGCAGACTAGTCTTTTTAGTATGCTGGCATCTGAGTCCGCTAACACTTCAGTCCTGAAATAATTATTCTCACCTGCTGGGGCAAGTGATGAAGTTGGCAACAGGCTTGTCAGGGAGAAGAGATAGACACCTCCAGCAAAGAAAAGGGTGCTTGACGATGGCTATTTTACCCCTAACACTTAAGTATCTGCGTAGAAACCCTATTATCTTGTTATGATATTTAGAAAATTCTACTTTCAAGGGGATTTTCCCAGTTGAGATAATAACTCAAGGATGAGTAAAATTTTCATTGCCTTTTTCTCTTGCACCTTTTCGTGTGTGTGTGTGTGTGTGTTAAAAACAAGAGCTGCTTATCTTTCTTCAGGGAATCTAGGCTTATTGTCTTTCCCAAGCACACTGGGATGTTGAACGTTCGTGCTTTTCCAGGCGTGGGGCGACATTGACAGACACTCCTTTCCTTCTTTCTCCACAGTCAGCTACGGTGAAGCTGTCAAAACCAGTGGCCCTGTGGACGCAGCAGGATGTCTGCAAGTGGCTGAAGAAGCACTGTCCAAACCAGTATCTGATCTACAGTGAGTCATTCAAACAACATGACATAACTGGTAAAGTCTGCAGTATCCAAAGACTCTCCTCATTCCCCTCCCCACTTTCCCGCGCCCATCCAGCAAAACAGTAGCTTCCTGCTGAAGTTTCCTGATAGAAGGAGGCTCTAGAGCAGGCAATCAACTCTAGGCCACATGAGCCATGGTACTGAACGAATCGGGTGGTTCATAGAGAAAAGGAGATTTTGAATATCTAACACAAGTTTGTGGGGTTGGGGGCGGTTGATCCGAGAGTAAACGAGAATGCATCCGTCCTAATGAAAAGAAGAAAAGTCTGTCTAATCAACTTCATTTTAGGATCAGTGTGGGGATTTTGTGAAGATGAAGACTCTCTCCGTGGGAGAATCTTTCCTTGTTTTCTGCTCATTAAATCAAGCGTATTGACTTTGCTGACTGATTAGCTACATATGTGAAACTAATGATGTGGAAGAATCAATAGGAGAAAGTCACTTTCCCTGCCAAACCAGTCCTATCCTGTCAATCATATAGCTGTGAGGTACACTCTACTTTGTTCCCGCCCAGAGGTTGTCTAAGTTTCTGAAGTGAAGTTGTGCTTGCCGCTGTCGCTGAGATGAACACATTGAAGTCACATAGGGAAACAACATTTCCATCGAAGGTGTTAAAGCCTTCCATTGAGAGGATAAGGAAGTGTTTGGGTTCAGAAAAGCAGGGAATGGCGTGGGTGAGAAATTGCTGTCCCCACCTTCGTGCCCACCCCTAGAGTAAGGAGGAACATATCTGAACTTGACCTGGGCCTAGATTCCTCCTGTATATTGGCAGCTCTCCTACATGTCCCCTTCACAGCCGTGCGTGGAAAGACAGGCCTGAGGAACTATGGGAAGAAATGCTTGAGATTCATGAGTCTGGTCTAGAACCTTCCTTTCTTCTGATGGAAAACTGAGCCCCTGGTGGGAAAACAAATCGCTTGCCTTGGGATAGCCAAGCAACCCATATACCAAACCTTTTCCCCAAGTCCTTGTTCTACCTTGACAAATGTCCACCTCTCTCGTTCTGATCACTTCTATTACTTTGGAGGAGGGTACATTAAGGAAAATGTACTTCCCTTGAAGTTCAGTTTTCCCATGCATCTCTCCTGTGTGGAGCCAATCTTCCACCTCCCCCAAATAAAATTTGCCCAAGAGTTCTCAAAGTACATTCAATGGCGTCCTTGAACCCTAGGGAAACAAGGAGGGGCTATGTCAGGTGGAGAGGAGGGTGTCACACAAGAGCCGCTCGCTCTATGGCTGACTTACATGCTTCATTCAGTAAGGAGGGTTATCAAGATTTTTTTAAATGTTCAACTGAGTAATTTTAGTCTTGCTATATAAGTAATAGGAAATTGTACAATAAACATGCCCAAGTATATATAGTTCAATCTGATTTGACAAAACAGTGCATTTCTGACTCAAAAAAGTTCATTTTCTGTACCCGACCCCCACCCCAGATACTGCTGATGGCCCTTTAGAATGAAATCCCTAGAACTCTAAAGGTAGTGAGGAAGCATAGCCTCGAAGTGTTTAGATTTCACATCCTAGTCCCTTGTCTTAAAGTGTTTGCACAAGGAAAGCCCACAGAGGATCTGTTGATCTACTCCAAGAGTGATCAGCTCATCAGTAACTCTGCCTAGCAGATAGCCATTATCTCCATCAGATAGTGGCTGCTTATCATCCTTTAATCGTCCTTTAATTCCTGCCTGATGGAGTAAAGACAAAGCCTTTTCACCGTCTAACTTGCAAGCAGTGGTATCGGGAATTATGGCGTGCCCTCTAGAGACAGATGAGTCTTGTAAAGGCTTATATAAAAAGGACAAACACTACCCTCAGAGCGAACAACTTCAGAGTGTAGGAAATAACAAGGTGGTGGCTAAGTGACCTGAAATAAAGGAAGGGGCGTGAGGTGTGTGTTGTAGAGTTGTCACACGGCTCTAGACTGAATCTTTGGTCTCCTCAAAACGCCTGTGGTGTCAGTAAGCCACGACATGGGTCTGAGCGCAAAATAAACTGCTTACTCAGGCAAGCTATTCAACCTCACTTCTTTGTCTCCAAAATAAAGACAGTACTTAAAACATCACAGAGTCGTGAAAATTAAGTTAAATATTATAGGTAAGCCACTAAGCCAACCTTTCTACCTCTAAGACTATGTTCTTATTTATTTCAAGCCTTATCTGGAATTGTGTAAATAAAAATCCCCAGACTTTCTTCTAAGATCAACCTATTTCTGGCAGGCAAAGAAAGCAGGGAATTATTTGGGGACTTGGGGAACAGAGAGAATAATTTCAGGCTAACATTTGGCCCACATCTTTTTGACATTCACCTGTTGAAAGCCACAGAACACCACTCCCTTCCCTTGTTCTCTGACCTTGGCTCATCTTCAAATGAATGTGTAGCACCTAAATCATCCCAAATCCTGTGTGACCAGAAACTAGCTTCCAGAATTTATACCGCTCTGCAATAGCTGGTCACCTGACATTCGATGCTTTGGGAACTCCAGTACCCTCAGAGTCTGTGATGATAACCAAGGAAGAGAAATTCATTCAAAATAAAAATGAGGCTAAGAGCATAGCTAAATTGGTAGAGTGCCTAGGTTGTCCTTCACAAAGCCCTGGGTTTTGTCCCAGCACCACATAAAGCAACTGTGGTGGTATACACTGGTAATCTCCCCACATGGGAGGTAGAAACAGGAAAATCAGGTGTTCAATGTTATCCTCAACTATCTAGTGAGTTACAGGCTAGCCCAGGACACATGAGACCCGGTCTCAAAACAAAACAACAGCAAAAAGCAATTAAAATATAATGTCATGGAAAGCCTCAATAGCTTGTGCAACCCGTAGAGTAACTTGGAGAAATGGCAGGAGCTGCTGTCAGAAACAGGCGGAAGCCCGGAAGTGCAGCCTTACCCTAGCTCCATGCACTGCAGGTTGCTTCACGTTTAAATGAGAGAGATAGTTCCAGTACCTCTCTCGTGGTGCTGCTGAGAAAGGTGACCACGTCACAGGACACATACAATAAACATGGAGTGCTGCAGTTTTCCCATGTGCTGTCCTGGCTTCCAAGAAAGCAGGCCACACATATCAACGGTGTTGTATTCATCCAGCTCTATTATCCTGAACACTGGAAGAGTAGTGCCCAGAGGGGAAACAAAATAGTTTGGGCTGGTACATACCCTGTGCTCCTCTGAAAGGCTATGAGCAAGATTATTTACCTGTCTGCCTAGGGATGCTGTTCATTTGTTTTTCCTTAAAACAAGGATAAAGAGGTTCTTGCTCACAAAGGGAACATGTTCTGTCAGTCACTGTAACATGTAACATCAGCACCTCTTGATCTTGAGGCAGCCAGTTCAATGGTGGTAAAATGAGCACCCATTAAATGGAGAGAAGGGGAGAAGCAGTAGGCGGGTTTCCTCAGTCAAATTACTCTTGATGTTCTTCACCCCAGCTTTTAAGACACAGTAAGCAGCTGCTTGATGTCGCACAAGCTAGTCTTCCTCAGTAGCATGAGAGTGACGTTTAACTTAAAGGGTCATCGGGAAGATTAAATGGGATGGTGTGTGGGAAGGGCCAAACTTAATGCTGACAAGCAGTGGGCAGGCATTCATTTAGCAAGTGTTCATGGAGCACTTGGCTCTCGGTGGGTTTGAGAAACAAGGAAATTAGGTAATGGGGGATCCATGCGGGTTGTGGGGGTCCTGAAAACACTGTCACACCATTTTGTGTTACCTAATTCTGAATGGAAAGAGCTGTTTTTTCACGTCTGGGTTGCAGATAACTAATAATACACTAACTTCTCACTTTTGTATGCACTTCTGCCTTAAATACTAATTTTAATTACTAATAGGATATAATTATTAATGATTAACAGCAGCTGAAACTATTTAGCGGAACTTCTGTGTTTTGTAAGGCCTGCATTCACCTAACTTTTATTGTACTGTAAAGTTTCTTTGCTTACTCTTCTGTGCCCAGTTTCTAGGCTCAGCTTCATCATAGATGTACACATAGGGAGAGAATAGATGGAATGTTTAGGGTTCTGTATGGAAGGCCTTGAAAAAAAGCCAGGACTTGGGTAGAACAAATTTTTATCTATTTGCATGGAAATTATGCCCACAGAGGTTTGCTGACTCCTCAGCTTCTGTGGAGAAGTGATCTTGGCCTTGGATTTGCCCATTGAGCTGAGCCATCCTAACTTGTATCTGTGTCTGCTGCTGGGTTCTTTTTGAACTAATTATTGCACCGTATCTGTTTCCTCAGTCATGAATCAAATAAAATTCTCAAGCACATACTAATTTTTGTATGAGGAAACGATTTCAACTTTTTTTCAGACAATCTCTCACAAGGTGGCCCGACCTTGTCAGGAACTTGCTCAGGGACTACTTGTCCTTACACTTATAGCATCCTTTCCCCTCAGTCTCTGACTGCTAGAATTACGGGAGTGTGCCATCACGCCCACCTTGATTTTAACCCGTTTGAAATTTACATGTAACCTTAAAACACTTTTGTATTTATACTGTTATGAGCAATTCCAGTATACTAATATTTTTCTTATGCCTTTGTTTCAAGGACATTGAATTGTAACCAGATTTTCAGTTTGGTTGTTGTAAAATCTAAGAAAAAATGTTTTAACTCACCAGGGCGTCAAAGCCTTTGTAAGTTTCCTTTTAGGATTTTTGATAATTCCGTTGTGCTCGGAAGGCACCTGCTATTTTGTGGCAGATGTGTTTAATCAGACGAGAAGTTACTTATGTTAATTCCCTGCAGAAGCGTCCTTAAAGAGAAGGAAGGTGGTCAGAACACTGGAGAGACATTAGGATATATAGATTGAAATCATGAGATTAGGTCTGAAGGGAAGAAATCCACCTGTTTTTCTCTGCTTGCCAGATTCCTTCCCTAGCTTCCTGGGGCCTGGTTGGGAATGCTGATGAAGAGGCTCTGTTAGGCCTAGGCATAAGCTCACAGGCAGTTTTCAGATTCCCTTTTATGCACAGTTAAGAATCTTTTCAGGTTGGGG